CCCCCCCCCCCCCCCCCCGACGGCGCTTTTCTGTGGGACGGTTTTTCGTGCTTCGTGCCCAGGCGTGTGTTGAACGGGTCATCAGCAAGGGCTTCGGCACGTGCGAGCCATGGTTCTTCGACTACATATCCTGTGTCGACAAATGCGTGAGTGGCGAAAAGAAGCAATCAACCTCCAGCAGTGTCCACCTTTCTCCCCTGTGACCCGGGCTGGCGTCCACACCGCATGCGGTACACTAGCTCCCAAAATTGATGGGACGAAAGAAGATATCACACAGAACGAGCAATGATTCCAAATCCCCTTGGTAGCCGTGTGTTCGTACGGACTGGCCGCTTGCATTTGCCTGAATGAGGCACAAGGGCGGATAGCAATGGTCCTGAACCATCACAGACCCCAGAACACCAACCCCAACCCTCTACTCGTTCCTCGCTGCGTCGCCACGCCGGTACCCCCCCCCCCCCCCCCCCCCCCCCCCCCCCCCCCCCCCCCCCCCNCTGCGATGGCAGGCCGCTCCCAAGATCATGAAAGTCACGAAGTGATCGATCGCTCCGTAGCCCCTAGGCTTCAAGGGAGCAAGCAGCACGCCTCCTCAGCGCTGCTTAGGCGACCCGCGCGGCGGCGCGCGGGGCGTGGGGGGAAGTACTCGGTTCCGCTGGGGGCTTCAGGGTGGCGGGGTTTGGTTGGATTAGTCGGCGTGCGTTGATTTCCTGAATGGGCACACGCTGGGTATAGTTTGTAGCATGCGGAAGCCACGGCAGTCATGCGGCTGATGGCGGGGGNGGGGGGGGGGGGGGGGGGGGGGGGGGGGGGGGGGGGGGGGGGGGGGGGCTGCAGTTGAGGGTCACCAACCATTTCGTTTGCCCCGTGACCCGGCACCCTTGCCGGACAATGGGATGAGATGTGGCATGTTACTTTCTGGAGGGCGGGAGAGAAAAACATGATAGGGTGGGTTAAAAAATGGGGTACGCCGCGCCAGCGCCCGCGAAAGAGAGGGCAAGAGTTTGTTTGATTAGAGATCAATTGTGCTTCTTTGGTGGATCGGCGCCACACGCATTTTTTCGAGGGAGGGCGGCAAGGGTTCTCACCCACAACTAGTCCTGTCTAATGTGTGCTCTCGAGGGATTTTGGGATGGAGAGATCCTGTGTTATTTTTTGTTTTTGCTGTCAGGAGGAGTGGCGAAAGTCTCGGGTCGGCGGGCGAACGCTAATCTAATCTACCGGATCCACATTCATGAAAGATGTTGTGAGAGTGTCTGCGGGGGTTGGGTGCGGGTTCCGACACCTGCCAGATACCACCGTTTTGGGGTGGGGAAGCAAACGTTCACTGCATGGTGCTCACGCCGGAGGGTCAAAAGTACGCGGTCGGCGGCCGCAGTGCTCTTGCGCCCGGCTTGTTCGGTGTGCTCGCTTGGACGAGAGCAAAATCAATGGGAACAGACTTGGGAACAGCTCGAAATGTCACATGCGCTCATCGAAGCGGCGATGGTACCGGGCGCGGCCGTCGAAGAGTACGTCTGCAGGTGCATGCGGCGGGCCGCTTGTTGTAAATGTATCATGTCGCTCATGGTCGAGTTGCCCCTCTTCTATTGCTGGCCGTTTTTACTCCAAACGAGCGAACGCGTAAAATGATCGTCGCCAGCTGTCGCAAACCCTCTTCTAAGTCTGTGAGCAAAGAGGTGTGTTGCACCCGGAGGAGACGGTGATGGTCGTCCTGTCCCTCAAAGAAGCAAGGATTAATTTGCGTCCTCTGCACACATACAATCAGGCCTTGACCGAACGACACAACAACAGGTACCTCCAAGTCCACATTTGTCCGGGCGTCATATCCCGCGCTACAAAACGCGCCACTGACTGACGCAAATGTCTGTCGTTTTGCGACCCGTCACCACTTCTACCTCTTTCATCCAGGGAGGGAAACCTTTTGACGCACGTACATCTTTGTTGTTGGTGTTCATCGATATCATTTCCTCGATGTCTGTGGCACCAATATCGTGAGGTGGCGGCTCGTTCTGTAGCGCACTCCGCGAAATCACGCTCAAAATCGTAATATTTCGGAGGTGGGGAGCGCACGCCGTATACAAAGAAAGGCGCTGTCCTATGCACGCGTAATAATATCCATTGATGATGGCTACAGATTGTGGGAAACTTTTGGCATCTCTGTGATTGTCGATCGACTACTATACGCGGCGGTATTTACATATTTACAGACCCTCCTCTCCCAATTAATATCCCTCTAGTGCTTCGAACGTTCGGACTCTGCCCCTCTGGGCACGTGTGTGTCTCCGTTGCATGGGAACGAACGCGGCATAACATAATAATGTGGAACAACACAGCAGTGGCCAATGGGGGTATCCTGGAAAAGGATATCTGTTGTCCCCCTTCTTCGATATTTTTTATGACGAGGTGCATGACCAACGTCCACACTGCTGCTGTGCTGTGCACCATAATGGAGGCGCCTCAGGAGAGGATGCCGAGCTCCGCGGAGTCGGAATCTGCCTTCTCCGCGGCCACGGAGGCTGAATCAGAAGTGACAGACGGTGGCTTCGAAGATGCAGATATAAGGACGGAGTATTTTTTGTCCTACCCGACGGATTGCTTGTCCGCGTACGAGTTGATCAAGAAGAGAAGCCTGCATGGCGTGCGAGCTCTCGACGACGTGAGTGCAACCGTGATAGCGATTTGTGCAGTTGCGTGGGGTCGGGGTGCTTCTGTGCTGGAAAATTCTAGTCGAAGGTTGTGGTGACATTCTGTCATCACAATAATCAAGTCGTTCCTGCCGCTTGTTCCGAGAAGTCTCGAGCAGTTCTGGAATATGGTATGGTACGAAATACCATGCTCCTATGTTGCTGGGGGGCCACCTGCTGAGAGGCGCGCGCTGCGGCTGCACCACAGCAATCAGTACAGCGGGCAATCGCTGTTTCCATCAACTCCTTTCTGGTGCAGCGAGCAAGTTCCTTGGCAGTGCGTTTCTATGTACGCAAAAGCTCAAGAGATGCATCCTAGGAATATAGAATATGTTACGTGCATACTGCGCGGGCCCCCCATATCCGCCCAACCTCAAGCTTTTATCAGGTATCACGCGAGCGAAGGCATTTTGAGGGAGCCGGAAGCACACGCTGTACAGCGGGAAAAATAGTACCATTCGTTCACAAACCAGATGGTGCTTTTTGTGTTTAATTCTCTCTTCACCCCAAGGCCGGGTTGTTGGTGTCGTGTTCCCTCGATGCCTCCCCATTATTCCCTGTACACAGAACGTAACATATCCTGTAAATTCTAATACGAACACTTCCAACGGATCCCGTTCGACTGCTGTGGTCATATCTCTAAGGGTAGTCTCCCTGTCGTTGTTTTTTATGTTTCCTAATACATACGACAAGTCGAACTTTGCCCTGTTGATAATCCACGTTCAGAACGGCGCCAGCGCTTGAGAACCTCCACCTCAATTCTTTTGGCCGAGGTTGGGGTCCTTCCTGTAGTTTCTCTTGTGCGCCAAATACAAATGGCCGTTACATCTTAAACGGGCTCGCAGATGGTGCTCCACGTTGTCAATTTTCTAAACCGTCAAGTTACAGTAGTTCTCAGTGCGGGCGCCATCGGTACATACGCATACATGCGCTGCTGGCCATGTTGTCAAAATTGCTGCTTGTCGGGGTCTGTGTGCTTGCTTTCTGGCGCTGTTTTTGAGCCGCCGGGTTGTTTCCACTCGGGAGGCCGCAGCGGTTGTGGTCGTGTACGAGTACTGGTGTAGCAGGGCTGAAGGGATGATTTGGAGAGGATACAGCAGTAGAGGTCCCTGTTTAATGCCGGTTGAATAGTGCCGGTTGCCGGTATAGTGCCGGTCAAATCTCGGCGCACAGAACCCGCCCTGAATAGTGCCAGACCGGCACTATTCAGGGCTGCCCACTATAGTGCTGGTTCGGGCCCCACTGAACCCCACAATAGTGCCGGTTCAAGCACGCACGCACACACAACACACTAGAGACACACACAACACAGAAGACAGACACAGAGGAGAGGGTACACGTGCTGCTGCAGACCCGAACAGCCCTAGTGAGGGCGGGGGTTACAGCTGCAGCGGCTGTTTGATTTCTTGCATGTTCCGTTCTTGCGGTCGTGTTTTTTTTTTTCTTGTTGTGGCTACATCGAAGGAGGGTGAGGAGGAGACAGATTTAGCTTCCTCCTTCACCAATAGGTTGTGCCAGCAGGAGCTTCGCAAAAGTGTTACCGCCAAAAAATCCATGAGCTTCATGATCAGTGGTTTGCTTTCGCTGTCGAGGAGTGATGTTGAGGTTGCGCGAAATGGTTTGATCCTTTGAAGGCCAGTGCCACGGCATTCTTGCCAACAAAACATTGGATATCTATGAGNATCCATGAGCTTCATGATCAGTGGTTTGCTTTCGCTGTCGAGGAGTGATGTTGAGGTTGCGCGAAATGGTTTGATCCTTTGAAGGCCAGTGCCACGGCATTCTTGCCAACAAAACATTGGATATCTATGAGGTGCATCCTTTGCGATATTCATGTGAAGGGTTTAAGTCAGGTTGTGCAAGTGTGCAGTATGTGCGCTGAGATGGGTACAGCAACAAGGTGCAGCATGTGTGTCCCGTCCAGTTAATTTATTAAGCAAAACATGTGTGTTCGACAGGGCAGGAACCACCCCTATCGTGGCACAACAGTGTGCCCGCGATGCCTATGCCATGATCTCACCATATACGTTTCATGTGGTACTCTGTTGGCCCCGCAAAGCAAAGCGCTGCACTCTGAAATCACACAATTCGTCGGTAGTGCCGGTCTGGCACTATTGAGGGATTTTCAGACCCTGAATAGTGCCCCTTTGGCACTATTCAGGCCCTCTGAAGAATAGTGCCGGTGCCCGGTATAGTACCGGTGAAATTTTTGCGCACACCCCGGCACTAAACAGGGACCTCTACTGTACCAGAAATGAAAATCTCCAACAACACATACCCTTCGTTCGTATGACGAATTCGTAGAACTCACAGTATCGGCAAATCGCACTCGTCGTTGCTTTCATCGTTTGGCTTCATTGTACATCGTTTGCAATGGACCGCGGCCCATCTCAGTCCATCGCAAACGAAGTCAATTAAGCCAAACGGTGAAAGCAAGGAAAGTGTGATCTATTGATACCGTTGTGCTTGTACGAATCTGTCATGGAAGGAAGGACTATATGTTGTTGGAGCTGTCCATCACCTTGAGATCTTCGGTATCGTGGAACCCAGTACGATCGTTGGTACTTGCGATAGTCGGCTGGAGAGGTCAATGCGCTTCGAGCTGCTTGTTGTTACTGCTCTTTTGGGAGTCTACGGATCGTGCGAGACGTGCACAACCCCCCGGGAATCCTACGCCTGCAAGCATAGTCTGTTGATAAATCACACTAGTGTGTTGGACGAACTGTGCACGGTGAAGCAAGCCCTTGTTGGGGCGAGACACGGGGATGATGTTGTTGTGGTTGTTGTCTTCACATGAAAAACTGCTCCGTTCTCTCTGCCCTTCTGTCGGTACTAGCCTAGCACTTGACGGGGTCGATGTAGTCGGCTGCATTCGGCCACGAGAGGGTGGGCCAAGGAGACTCGATTGGTAGGGAGAGAGACCGACGCGGAGGTGAAGAGAGAAAAGGAAGTGGCGGAGAGAACACCTCCCAATCACGCCTCCCACAGAAGGGGGGTCCAGTGGTTCACCGGTGGTACAGCAGCACCCCACCACACACGAAAATCCCAACACTTAAAATCCCTATGTTGCTCACCATCAGATAGTGCTGCGAGTATGTACACGGTGGTCGGTTAAACCACCGCCATCATGCACGTCACACCAAACTCACAACGGAGACAAAATGCATGGGCGGTAGGGCTTCTTTGGAGGTTTCACTTGTAGGGAAATGGACTAGGAATCCCCCAAGATGGCTGTGGATTTCACGGGACCCGCCTGGTTTTTCGTGCGTAAGGATGTACAGATGATCGCAAGGTGAGGGTTCTCAACTACATTGTCACTCTTCTTCTCAACCCTAATTCTTGACTCGAAATACCTCATCCCAACCCACCGAACACGCGACGCAGCTGTGCGTGATGATCAAGGGCAGGGTTGGGCTGGAAGAGACCTACGCCAAGGGGCTGGACAAGGTGGCAAATCAGGTGCAAAGGTTGGTTGTACATTATGCGTACTATGAGAGGCAGGCCGTATTACAGTAGTAGCAATCGCGAGGAATACATAGAGCTGGGCGGCGCCGCGCTCGGAGAGGCGGAGTGCACTCCGGCGGTTGACCCGTGCACAGGCGGCAGCACCCTTGCCGCCACGCTGTGGATGATGCACATGAACGCAAGTTGTATACACTCGCCCCGTGCAAGGTTTAGCTTTTGTCGTCCTGCCCCTATTTGCAACCTTGCCATCTTCCAGCTCCTCCACTTTCGCAGAGCATACGGAGCAGCCCCGTTGCACTATTGTACAGCAGTAACATCAGTGTCTCGGTTTATTTCACAAAGGATTGCTGTGAGTCCGAAGGTTGGAACCGTCGGCCCAGTCTCCTCCGCGACCCCCCCCCCCCCCCNNCCCCGCTAGAAGTCCGTTTGACCGATTTCTTTATTCCTGGTTGTAGATTGGTCGGATGCCAATACGTACATCAAGCAAGTTCACACACTACCAATGAGATAACCATACACACACACGAAAACAAAAAAACACGAAAATACAGCAGGCGTTTCGAGACGGCTTGGACGCCGGGTCGTTCCGCGAGGGCCTCGAGGGACTGCGGTCCGACCTCGTCAACAAGGCGGTGCAACACCGCGCGCTGGCGAAGAACATCTCGAGCGACGTGCTCGAGCCGCTGATGGAGCTGAGAGGACAGCTCAGCTCGAAGTCGAAGGCCCTGGTGCGAACTGCTACAGCTTGCCCCGAGTGTTTTGTGTTTGTTTGGCTGTTCAGGCGTGTTCGTCGATACCTATCTGTTTATTTGTCGTACGGCTTGATTGCGGAATGGCTGGAAAGAGAAGAAGGGGGGAGGGAAGCGGGCGGGAGGTAATCGTGCACGGCGTATGCCACGATCAATGTGCGGTGTCAGTGCAGCTGGAATGCCTGACCCCTCGTCGCCCTGGCGTGAGCTCTATCTAATTCCGCCCCGCCTGCTCCGTCCTCTCCAGGACGCGTGGTCAATGGTCTAGCAACTAAAGCATGCAAAATATAAGTACGCCCCCCCCGTCCCCTGCTGGATGGGAGAGTAGAGGTTGCCGAGAATTTTATGGGAGACGAAGTGGGCAAACAAAAAGAGGGTTAGACAACCCACGGAATGGGTCAAGGTTGTAGAGGACGTATGGAAGGGGCTCGACATCGACAAAGATGAAACGCTGGAAACGGAGGGTCTAAAGGGGTTCAAGGAGAAGATATATGTTGCTTGTGCCGAGAGAGAAGAACGAACTCCAAGGAAAGAATCCAAGGATAAGGAGGGCCTAGAAGTGTACGGAATGTTGAAGGAAGAAGGAAAAGGGTTCAAGGATTACCTACATGGACCAATGGATGCAGGAACAAAGCTTAAGGTCAAGTTGAGGACCGGGGACATTGGCTTTCGAGAACGTCGACGAAGACAGAGGACGGTAGACGTCGAAGACGACAAGTTCAAACGTGATTGCGGCTTCGAATGCGAAGACCGTTTTCATCTAGTCGCGGAATGTCCGTGGTACAAGAAGGAGAGAGAAGTGTACGTGACTGAGCTGGGAAAAATAGATGGGACGTACAGGGAGATGTTTGAGGCATGGAATACAGAGGAAAGGACGGTAGCGGTACTGGGGCGTAGGAGGCGGGTTGAAAAGGCGGGAAGGGATATCGTTAGGATAGACAGACTAGGGAAGACATTTTTGAGCCACCTTTGGCAAAGTAGAAAGGGACGATTGGCCATCGGTGATCGGTCCTGTGGGAACAATGCTCCGTCCTCTCGAGGACGCGTGGTCAATGGTCTAACCGCTAAGGCATGCAAAACATAAGAGTACGCCCCCCCCCCCCGTCCCCCCCCCNTTGTCCATGCTTGCCGCCGCCTGGTGGAACTGTCGCCGCCGGCCGTGATGTGTGGCTTTCGTCCTCTTTGTGCTGGGCGAAACAAAATAACATAAAAGGTGGCGAAGGCGACCAAGCTTCAGCGCGACACGAGGGCCGCTGATGAGAAGTACCGGCGTTCGCACACAAGGGTACGTGCGACAAACCAAGCACTGCTTGTGGGGGCGCAGCGTTCCCTCCCTCGTCTCTCGCGACGTTTGGATGGGCCTCTTCGTGTCGTCGCATCTTGTCTGTCGTGCTCTTTGAGAATAACTTCGTAGCTGTCCTTTGTGGTTTCGTGCTGGCGGTCCTTGTGTGTTTGTTAAAAAAATACAAAAAATCATGACACCTCAGCACCCCCCCCCCCCCCCCCCCCCCCCCCCCCCCCCCCCCCCCCCCCCCCCCCCCCCCCCCCCCCCCCCCCCCCCCNTCAAACCCCTCCGAATTGTTGCCGCACGTTTGCTACCCTCCCCCCAGTACCACCGTTGTCACCGCGAAGCGGCGCTGAGCCTCTCGGCCGCCGTCGAAGGTGGCGCCGTGCCCTCCCTAAAACCGAGGCGCCGCCCGTCTCTCGAGCGATCATCGACCACTCCCGAAAGCACCACCAGCAACAGCAACAGCGGCGGGGGGGGGCGGTGGCCCGCCGCTGCTGTTACTCTTCCACCCTCCCCGCTTGCCGGCGCCGGCGCCCCGGCGCCTCCACTGAGAAGGCGCGCGATGTCGGCCACCCTGGACAAGGTCCGAGAGGCGATGCCGTCCGGGTCGAACAAGAAGGACCTGGTGCAGTGGTTCCTGCCGTCGGAGAAGACGCGCAAGGAGGCCCTGATCGAGTCGGCCCAGGCGGCCGCGGACGCGGCGGAGGAGGCTAGGAAGGCGTGCCTGGCGTGCTGGGTGGCTCTGCGCTCCGGGGTGCACTCCGCGGTGCAGGTGCGTGCGTGGGTGGAGACAGCAGGTAGCGCGGTTGCTGCTGTGGTGTGCGTGTTTTGTCTCGAACGGGTATTCTCTTTCTGTTATTGCACGTGTATTTCGTAACAGCATAGGGCGTGTTTTTTGCGTTTGCGTCTGCTGGTGTTGGTGTTGGTGTTGTGGTTGGGGCAGAGAGGAGAAGGGCTAGTAGCGGTGTCGGTTTTCTTTGCTTGGCATCGACGGCGGTAACGGTTTGTTGCTGCACGCGTGAAGGCGCCATCGTCAGCGGTTAAACAATAGAAACGACTGTCCTTCGAAGGAGGACAGCATCCGAACCTGGAAAAAGCGTGTGAGACGGCAACTTGGTTTCGAGTTTCACCTAGTGGAGTAGTTTGGAGCCCCTGGTGTTGAGAGAGCGTAGGGTCCGGAGTGTGATTCGTGGCGATAACCTGCCACCGGAGGTTGTCTGTATGTGAAGGGATGCCAAGCTGGACCGAGCGAACTTAGTCCAGGTAGGGTGGTTTGGGGAGGTGGGTGAGGCTTCGTGGGATTCATTTCCCAACTCCTGAAGATTCGTCGACCATTCGCAGCCGTGGAGAATGAGCACATCTCGCGGACCTATAGCTGGTGTACCATATCCTGACCTCCACAGCAGTAGCGTATTTTACAGCGACACCAGCACACGGGGCCCCACGGGGAAGGGGGGGGGA